TATCTTTGCGATTATATGCTTTTTTCTTTATTTAAAACTTTGAACATGTTCATGAACTTTGAACCTAGGTTCATTAGAAACACTAGCCACCCTCAATGTAAACATTCTGTCCTCAGTTTTCTCTCTAGCAAAATTGATATGATTTGCGACATCAGTTGTTGTTCTGGATTCCATTGCCAAGTCAAGCTCTTTTCCGATGGATCGCAACGCATCATACTCATGCTGATCCCGTGATTTATCAAATTTATGCTTTGGTCAAGATTCTTTTACTTCAGCCTTTTGTTTTGTTTCTTGCACTTGACGTGTTACTGCATTTAACTTTTCATCAAATTTTAATAGAGCATTTTCTAATTTTTCAAATCCTAACAACACTTTATCTTCTAGGGATCCTGAGGGACCTTCTTCTGCAAGTGACTTCCGCTTTTTAGTTTCTCTATATGTTTGGGTTGACAATCGGATACTTCTTCTATATCTCTTGGTAATCCTTCTAATGGAATGTTCTATGCTGTGCGCTTCTCGTTTCGTAATAAGTCGTTTAGTGTTTGCGCATGTGGTTCAGTGTTTGGATTCAATGTGGCGGAGATTTCCGTTTGTTGGCTATAGACTATTGAAGCATCATCGGCAATTTCTTGCCCCAAAGTACTTGGACCTGCTAATACGTCTTTTTCTTTTCCTTTCCCACGGTTTATAACACCGGAATATTCCTTTAATTTATGAACCAAGTCCATTTTGTTTCCTTCAGTTGGCAATCCTAGACTACTGCATATTTCTAACAGGTCGCTCTTTGATAAGTTTGATTCAGTCATGTTTTTCTACTTAATAGAGAGCTATATACGATAGAGCCAGATAAAACAATCGGGCAGCGAAAGAATCAAGCACTTCCGTTCATCCCTTAATTCTATTCCCTTAAATTACTATTCATAATCTCCCTTCTGATTTCTTTCACCTTCCTTATTTGGTTTCACCATCCTATCCTTATTTGGTTTCACGTGTCATGAGTGATCCTCGCGATAATAACCCTTACGCTGACTACGTCAGCTTACGGGCCATTCAGTGGTAGTTAAATGATTATATACATCAAACTGACTAACATCATTACAACATACTAAATTTTGGGTTCAAACAAAATTAGCGCATATGTTAATCAGGTAACACTACATATTTCTATAAAATATATTTCAAATTATTATATGATTACTTTGAACGCCTCGGACACTTATCAGATTTTGATAGCAGAGTATATATTCAAATAAAAACAAAAAATAAATAAAGATTTAATAATATGCAGCATTGATATGTGGCTAAATATTTTAAATTTTAACATTCCCATGCCAGTTTTTCAATAGTTCATGCTCTTTTAGTTCATTCCATTTTCTTTCCATATCTAATTGCACCATGATTTCTTTAACAACTCTAACAGCCGAGTTCAAAGCTCCAACGATCCAAGCATGATGAATATCAGTATGTTCACCAGCCCAATATATATTATTCATAGGTTTTAACATTGGATACATTAGATTTGTAAACTGTGCTGGACCAAAAAGTGCAAATGCTCCAACGGCTGTTGTATCATTTGGCCAATAAATGGACGAAAACTCTTCGGTTACTAAATTTTCCTCTACAACTTCACGTCCATGGAGAATTTTAAGGTTTTCAGCACAAAGATTCGCATTCTCCTTCTGCGAATATGGAGCATATTTCTCTGCGTCATTTGCCCAGGTGTATGAACCAAGGAGAATTGCAGGATTATCCGTTGGAATCTTATTATCGACATAGTAAGACGGATAAATAACTGTCCGAATTGGAAGGTCAGTTGAGGAACTGCCTCCAATAATAGGGTTCGTTCCATTTTCCCAAAAGCGAGTTTTGAATTTCAAAAATAATTTGGCGGATTTGTCATAATTCAATTCACGAATTGCACGTCTCTTGTGATACAATTCGTCATTTTTATCCAATCCTATATTAATGTTGATTAATATTGCAAGTTATATATTAATTATCCAAGAAAATATCAAAAAAAAATAAAAGAATAAATTCACATCTTTTTGCACTAACCTAACAAATCCCATTGTCGGACAACACCCAACGGACAAGTAACGATAACCTTATCAAAAATATCTTTAATTGATTTCCCGTTTTCTTTCCAATGTACATGAACTTTATTATTTTTATGCACATATTCCAATTTATAAACTTTATGATTATACTTAATTCTTACATGCCCTAACCCATTACTTTCCTCCTCTTGCTTGTAAACGAGTTTGAATGCATCAGGAAATCGTTGCATTCCATAATCAATTGTTTTCCATTTTTGGGAATCTGCCAAAAATGTATAAGCATCCATTACAGCTTCAACAAGCGCGAGTCTAAATAATCCGGTTGCAGATTCGGTCATTTCAATTGCAGCAATAGTTTCATCGAGATCATATGGTTCAGGTATATCGAGGTTTTCTCTGAGATATGAATAAACACTATGTTCATCAAATTGCATCAATAATTTGATTCCTTTATCAAAGTTTTCATCTAAAGTAATAAAGAAGATTTTGAACGCTTCGAAATATTTTTCTTGGTATTTAGGATCAACCTTTGGCGAAAAACCAAGCTTTAAAAAATTTTATTGTTTGTCTGCATCTCCTTGAGTCATAATTTGACTATCATTATAGAAAAACAAACCACTATTTGATTATTAGTATATCAAATATAAATTTAATATTAGTATATCAAATATAAACTTTTAATATTGGTATTACAATTGGCATATAAAAGACTCAATACTGTAATCTTACTTTTCATTCGAAAAGATAAACGGGATAGTACGAATCTTGTCTTTCTCATGAGTAATACGATGATTCAAATAATCAATAGTATCAAACACCAGTCGATGTTCTTTAGTTTCCGGAAGTCTCATGGCTCCAAGTTCGACGTATAATCTTTGTTCTTTATCGCCTTCAAAATATTGTGTATGCACACGTCCACCAACACGATTTTGACATTCAAGAATTTGGATATTTTTAAAATTCTTTTGTAAGAGTAATGCAGAAAATAAACCTACTCATTATAATAAAATTGAGAAACTAATATCATTCAAGGGATCAAAAAAATTTATATGAAAATTTGAGTTAACATACCTGCCATTCCTGCGCCAATTATACAAATTTCTGATAATAAAATAAATAATGGTTATGAATTTTTTAGTCAAATTTTAATGCTTTGCACATGTATCATATACTTTGTATTTACTTGGCTCCTCCGGTAGTGGACCATCAGGCTGTTTAATTGGTGCAGGAGCAACCTCAAACCCCGGAATTCTATTATATTAAAGATCGTTATTGCATAAGGGAATGAATCAATAGCACTAATAAATAAAGTCAATAAGAATGCATACATTTGCTTAAAATATTTCAATCGAAGATGTTGGATTTTCTCCGGGGGCAAGGGCAAGGTACTTTCATACTTACTACGATAATCTTGAATTGCCGTAGAGTGCGAAGCGAGGACAAAAGACATTCTCGTTTTTTTTTTTTGCAGTACAAAAAAAAAATAAAGCGATGAAAAGATTTTCTTTTCAATTTATCTTATAAATGCCATGTCGATCATAGGGATTATACGGTTTTAGGGACCAAACTTTTGACAATGCGTATTTCGAAAAATATATTAGGGGCCAAGCATATATTTTGGCCAGAGTTTAAGGATGTATTCAGAGGTACTGTAATGTTGTACATAAGAAATGGACATGATTAGAGATGGTCCAACGTGCATGGATCCGAAAAGTGCTCATTTTTTCCATCAAAGATTTCTATAAATGGATACAATCTTTGAATACGTATGTGCCCGGTGTTCCTATCGGGGCTATAGTGGTGATTTACGTGTCTAATTAGTACTGCCGGGAATTCCTGAATTAGTTGACATATAATGTAAATATTTATTCTATTGTATTTATTGTATAGAGGTTGATTGTTATCATTGTTGAATGTCGTATTTTTGATCATGCGGGTTCCATTAATTCTAAAAGTGTTATACCAGGACGGAATACAAAGTACAGTATGTAGAGTATTGGGGTGTATCATGCAAGAATAATTACAAACATAGTGCAGGTTATACATGGGTGTCTAAATTATTTTTGAAAAATTGTATTTACGGCAAACATTTCGGCATTGCTAAATTTTTTATATGAACCCCTTCGAAATAAATATATTATATGATGTATTTTGATTAAGAGTTCAAAAATTTTCGGCAATAATTTCGGCAAATATGAAAATTAATTTCGGCAATATATAAGATTAATTTCGGCAGCCTAAATGCCGTAATTACTTTTTTATTAAGATCATATGGGCGGAATTTTTTGATTTGGTGATTATTAAAAATTCAATGATAATATTTTTATAAAATTTATCGAATCATTTAAATGAATTAAGTGATATATTGTCTGATCACCGGTAAGTATGTTTTATTTGATTAAATCATTACGTATTTGATTGGTCAATTGTTTTTTCTTAGCTATAAATTGCTTACGAAACCATTCATAAAACCTGCATAATGTTTAAAAGCCCAACGATTTCAAATTATTAAAATTTGTAACATATCATTAGGAATATATTTGGACTTAAAGACAATTACCCTTTGATCGATACAACACATCATATTGGTAACCGTAATTTTAACTATCAATATAATATTTTGAAATTGGGATATTATCCAAAAGATGCGCGAAGAACAAAACGAAGTGGACATCAAATCCTAATAATTATCAAGTTCAAGTTTTAATATATAAGCAAAATATTACATGTCAAATAATCTATCAATCTGATGGAAAACCAAAATTTTATATAACATGAATAGAAAAAGAGACAAAAAAAAAGCACAAAATAATAAGTATAAAATCTGCTAGTGATGCTTCACAACAATTTATAAAGGTAAGATTAAAATATTTTTGTATTTGAAATTAATATATTAATATTAAATTGATTACTATAATTAATCTATACTTTAAATAGAGGCTAAATTCAAATAAGAATTCTATCTTATCGGGTGTTATTGTATTTGGGTTGGATTTAAAATATCTTGAAACACGCCGAGATAGACAACTTGTTTCTTAGAAAAAACCTTATTTGGATCTCAAATCTGGATCGCAAAAAAACACTCGTTTAAAGCAACTGGCTTTAGATATTCATTCATGTTCTAAAAAAATATTAGAAGAATATGGATTTTCTAATAAAATTTGGATTATATAGACTTAATATTCTTGATGAACAAATTAAAATAGATTTTACTAAATCAACATTAGCACATCTTGATTCTATTATTTATGCATGTGATACTAGTTTAATTTCACAAAACAGGTATAGAAATTTGACAGCAATTATGCTTTTTTTAGAATGAGAACATACTGTAGCTGCACAACATATAGAAATTAATGCAATCATGGAAAAAAAATTCCAATTAAAACTTTTATATTAATAATAATAGTAGAATTGAAACTTCGTCTATTTATCGAAGACAATGAAATATTTATTAATCACACTCAACTTGGAAATGTCAGAACAAGATCATTGACTGCATTGTTAACTATACTTATTCTAGATTCAACTACAGATAACAATCCTGTTTTATCTAGAAATGAGAACCCCCACAGCAAAACAAGCTAGTAGGAATTACTATGATTTTGTTATATTAAATTATTATAAATTGAGATAGACAAAAAACTTTTCAAATTATATTTTAATATAAAATACAAATGCAATAAAAAAGTAACTAATCTTGGAGACTATCTAGATCCAGATAGTTTTTAAATTAATTACTACCAAATTTGTAAATTAAAAATACATGATGTATATAAATTACTACCTGGCTTTAGATATTCCCTATTCTTGGTCTAAATATATCAAAAAAAGTAATTTTATATTATATTGCATAAACATTATAAAGAAATATTGGGTATTATAATACAGAAGGTATTGTAATACATTAATGCTATTTGATTAGAATTAACAATTTTAAAACTATTCAATTCATCTTTTTAAGATAAATCGAATACTACAAAAAATTAATTAATTCTAAATATTATAGAGTAATTATTATAGTAGTTTTATCCTTTTATCTTTAAAAAATTGCAGAAAAGAGATTAGCAAAATATAAAAAAAAAGATATCTTAGTATAATATGGCTATTAATATGAATAGTAGCTATATTATTATAAATTAGCAAGTTTTTAGATAGATTTTGAAAGCTTCAAATATTAATTTTTTTTTTACAATTAAATAGCAAATTGCATATTATTTTATTTTAATAAAATTTTATAAATAAATATGCTCTTTTAAAAATTTTTACTATTAGAAATTCTTAAATGTAATATAATACTTAACCTTTTTTTATAAACCTTTACTATGCTCTAGATTAATAAATATAACAAGCTCGATATACAGAGATGATACTATATAAAAGAATTTGTATATAAAACTATATATTTTATTTCCAATATATATATACTTGAACTAAATAGTATACAAATATTAGCATAAACTAAGACATTTTTTAATATTAAAAGTGAAAGTTTATCTTTTTGTTTTTTATTATAATTATGAACCAAACAGGTGTGATGCTTTGCAAATTTGAGTAGAAGTATTAATATAGTGTCAATATTGAGAAGAATAAGTACAAAGTTTTCAAATACTACCAGGAAACTGCAGAATTAAAAAATAGTAAAGAACTATTCTAAACCAGTTTTTTCTATAGCTAGAGTATCAATATAGAGAAGGATAAGAAAAAAGTATTCAATTATTACTTGAAATTTGCTATTCTATTAGAATATTTAAAACTACTATTTGTTATAAATACAGTATAGATGTGGAAAAAATAATAATAAGATTAATAAATAGATTAAAGAGTAAGTTATTTATTAATATTCTCAATTTAAGTTTAAAAATTTTTAACAAAACTATTTAATTTTAAAGAGTAAGTATAATTGATTTTTATTAAGATTTAAATTTGTAGTTCATATTATACATATTAAACATTATTTTTTAACATATTTATCTTTTTTTTGTTGGTTTTAAGATGAGGACTTGCTTATATCTTTATTAAATAATTTATATAAATAATTACATAGAGACTATATAAAGACTTAATTTGTATACAAACAAATAAATATAAATTATATACAAGAATAGAAGCTTAGACTGATTTATTTATAATCTAAACCTACTAGAGTAGTCAAGATTTACTTAGATTTGAATAGTTAAAATGTAGTTAATAGATGTATTATATTTGATCTATATAGTAAACAAAATATTGTATTTGAAAAAAGCTTATTCTGATAGAGGGCATGTATTAGAGTTAGAATATAGCTGGTTAGCATATCCATAGAGGCAACTATATGTATAGGTAATTTTGTTTTTGTGATTTCTAGAGAGTAAGGAGAACTAAGATATAGTATTGATTTGTAATAGAATTTGATGAGCTTTTTTTCAGTGCGAAAATTTAGAGCAGTAGAGGATTCAAATACTATTATAAAGTTGATCTAAAATTTTTAGAAGTATTTTAATAATAAGTTAAAAGGCTTGGGAGAAAGAAATTTCAAATAGGTTAGTAATTAGATTAGAGCAGTGGGTATAAGACCTTTAAGTATAGAATTAAGAGTATAAGGATATAGCTATGATGAGATAAAATTAAAAGAAAGATGTAAGACAATAGTATATATTAGATTATTTAGTTGGTGTATCAAAAAGTTTAGATTAACATTGAAGCTAATATTATAGAATGAGGTGTTAATAGTTTGAATTAAGAGTATATTGTCAGAGCAGGAGTACTAGTAAGAGAAAGTATCAGAATAGGTGGATAAGAAACAGTTAGGAGATGTAAAAGTAGAAGGATAGATAGAGTAGAAATATGCATGTGTTGAGAGAATGTTAAAAAGTATTTTGTTTTTAAAGAATTTGAGGTGGTTTAATTTAGAGTTGGTGAGATTGTGTAATACTTTTTAGTTGCTGTTAAAATATAGCCAAGAGGCTTTTTAGTCAATTAGTTAAGAGAAGTAAAACTATTCATAGGCATGATGTTGTAGAACCATAAGGCAATATTTTAAGTTTTTCAAATTGATTTAATGAATTGTCTAGTAGAGCTTTTGATAAAGCTTTTGTTCTATTGCAGAATAAAGAATGGGTTGTAAAGATTAATGTAGTTGAAATATAGAATCAGTGAAGTAGAGTAGTTATTTGTGAGTAAATTTGCAAGATTATTAAAGTGATTGTCAGAATCAGCTTGAATTTTGTAGAAGAAAAGTTGAATATTGTAGGCTTTGAGAAATTGAAAAGTGTGTGCCAAATATGCCAGGTATTAAATTTGAATTGTTTGGTGAGTAATGTAAAAGAGTTTGAAGTTTGTTGTATTTAAAGATAACAGATTGCAAGTTAGTAAAAATCTCTATAGTTGAGTTGTGAGGAAGTGTAGGAATAGCTAAAATTATTCTAGTAGTCTGCTTTGTGTGAAGAAGGCTAGTTAAGGATTTGAGCAGAGAAACTTTAAATAACTTGGTATTGGTGAACTTGAATCTAGCTAATGCTCATTAAATATTGGTTGGTGCCAAGTTGTTTAATGGAGCCATCAGTATAAAAGGTATATTGATATTGGAATAGGTTGGATAATAAAATCTTAGTTAATTTTGAGGAGGCATCACTATTATAAAAGATAGCAGAGATGAATGGATTAGTTATTTTAATATTAATAGTATGTAGTAGTGATAAATTAGTTAAATATTTGATTTTAGTAGAGCATATAAAGTCAGTATAATTGGCATTAAAATTAAGTTACTTGTTAGCTTTTTTCCTACCCAAAAAGTGAGTAGAAAGAATAGCAGATACTTCTAAAATACAGCAGTTAGATACGTAGTTTGAGTTAAGATTGCAACTCTGGCAGAGAGTGCAAAAAATAGGGAGTAAAAAATAGTAATAAGAAATAAAAGTATCAATATTATGTTGCCAGTGATCTATTTATTTTAGTAAGTATATATAAAAAATATTAATTAATAATTCAAGTTTAAACAGTATACAAACTATCAATATATATATAAATTTAAATTAAAAATTATGATAATTTAGTTTGTGAGTATAAAAATATTTATTAATTAATCAAAGTTTCAAATTATTCAAGTTTAATAAATATTTATTATTTAATTTTATTTTAGAATATAAGTTTAAAGAATTTTTTTTTCCAAGCAGTTATGTCACAACTTTATTATTTAAATAGAATATTTTACAGGTTTATCCTTGCGTTTTCTATCTACAGCTTAGCTATTTTATACTAAAGTGTGGCTCACCTGGTTACTAAAAAGAACCTATGTATAACTTGCAATGTAAAATCAGCCTCCTTGCTTCTTTTTAATCTACCTCAGATTATAAACCCACAATTTATGGCTGAGATTTACTAGCCTGTTATGACCGCCTCTTTTCTTTCAATTTTTTCTACCTAAAACTTGGCAGAAAGACTAAACCATAATCCATTTATGACAAAAAAAAATAAAAAAAAAATATATAGAAAGGGTATAAGGAGAATGAATATAATAGGAAAAGAAAAAAAAGAAGAAAGAGTGCACTAAATGAAAAAGAAATTTAAAAGATAAAAATAGAAAAAACAAAAAAAAAAAGTTATAGTCATAGTATATTTATAAAGAAGATGCACTATTATAACCTGTACAAGGGTAAAAAAATTATATACTAATTGCAACATTTAATATATCTCTATTGTAAAGCTTCACTTTAATGTTAGTATTTTTTTTCTATGATATATAATAAATTTTGGGTATCTCTAAACCAGGGCAGGGCTCTGATCTTTGCTATATAACGTAGCACTATATTGATATAAACAAAAATGTGGTTGCATTCTACTGAGTCTATTTAGATTTGATAAATATAAACAATGCTGATCTTTTGGATGAGGCAAGCTGTTTTGCCACTTTTTGTTAAAAATTTTTGTAAAGTCAGTGGAGAAAGCACTTGTACTATTTTAAAGAGTGTGAATTTTTCTTTACTAAAAGTAACAGCAATCTATAGCCTCTATTAATACTTCTATTAGAGCAGATATACAAATACTTGTTTTCTTGGTAAGTGATAAACTCTAAACTTGTCAGCAAATAGCATATGAGAACTATTTTTAAATGATAGGTGCCACACCCACAATAAGTGATAAACTCTAAGACTATTAGCAAGTAGTGTATAAGAACTACCTCTAAATAATAGTTGTTATCTTATAGTTTTTCTTTAACTTATAATAACATTACTATACATGCTTGTGTTTTTTAGTGATAAAGTTTTTTGGAAAATTTTGGTACAAGTGATTATTAAAAAGAGTGATTTATTAGTTTAAAGAATATTATTAACTATAATATTTTAAATATGCTAGTTAATTTTATTTAATTTATTTTATTATTAATTTAGTAAGTGTATATAGTTGTTAATTTAGCTTTTTAATTATACTATTTATTTCATGAATATTTATTGTTTATTCTATTTATTTTTTGCTAATTTAGAAAGTAAACATAAAAACTATATATTAATCTAAGAATATAAAATAAGCTATTAATGTTTATATATTTTATAATGTAAGAATAAAGCAATCTAAATATTTAAAACAAGTTATTTAGGTTTATAAATATTTACTATTTAATTTTATTTTATTTTTATTGATTTAGTATATAAGTATAAAAATATTTTTTAATAAAGTATTAAATTAAGTTATTATATTTTATTAATTTGTATATTTAAATTAATAATTTTAGAGGTTGTATATCAGAATCTCAAAACACAATATCCTGCTACTCAAAATCCTGATAACAAAATCCCAATATATAAAATTTTGTCAAATTAAAATTCTAAAAATATTAAAATTAAGATTTAATTTGTCAGGATTTTGTGTATTGAGATTTTGTTGCCAGGATTTTGTGTGCTAGGATTTTATATATTGGGATTCTAATATACAATCTATTTTAGAATATGAATATAAAAAATATTTATTTATTGATTAAAATATGTATTTATATTTATAAATATTTATTGTAATTTTTAATTTAGGTTTTGTATATGTTAAAAATATTTATTAATCAAAATATTTAAGATAGGCTTTCTATTAATTTTTTTTAATATATTATAGTAAGTAAGTATGAAAACTTTTGCGAGTTCAAGCATTTAAATAAGCTGTTTAGGCTTTTTATATTTTTTATTTATGTTTATTTTATCATATTAATTTAGTTAGTAAATATAAAAAATTATATTAGTCAATGTATTTTAATTAAGCAATTCAAATTTATAAAGTAGTTACTATTTTACTTATTTAATTTTTAGTTTATGCATATAACAGTTTTATTAATCAAAAGATTTAAAATAATATCAAGTTATAAAAATGTATTTTTAATCTAGTTAGTGAGTATAAAAATTTATTTATCTAAATACTTAAAAATAAATTATTAATTCATAACTATTTACTATAGTCTGTAATATAAAAGTATCTAAATATAAAAGATATTAAGATCTACAATTGCTTATTGTTTAATTTAATTGTATTCATATTAATTAGTTTGTAAGTATAAAAATATTTATAAGGTTAAATACTTAAAATAATATAATCTAATATATAAATTTACAAATTTTTACTATTTTTTAATTTAATTTTATTTTTGTTAACTTAGTAAGTAAGTAAAAATGCATTTATTAATTAAAGTATTTAGAAGCTATTCATGAATATATATGTTTACTTTTAAATTATTTTATTTTTATTAATTAAAATGTGAGGATAAAAATATTTATTAATATAAGTTTTTATTGAAGCTTATAAATATTTACTATTTGGTTTTAATTTATTATATTATTAGAAAGTATATATATAATTATTTAAAAATTATTTAAAACTATAAATATTTATTATTAACTATTTAATTTTATTTTATTTATATTATTTAGTAAATATGTATAAAGAATGTTTATATTGTCATGGCTGAAGCTAAAAACAGCTAAAACTAAAATAAAAAAGTGAACTTACTATAAAATATAAAACAAACAAAATTTAATTATTTTTTTATTATTAAAATTAATTTAAAATTATAATTGAACTTTTAAAATATTATATATATTAAAAAAAGGACTTAATTAGGTATGCATGCTGTAATGTACTTATACATTGCATTTTAAGAATTGACCAAGATCAGGTGTAGCATTCAAATTAATTTCGTATAATAAAAATAAAGAAATTTTTAAAATTTTGAAATAGCTCAAAATACTGCCTATGAAACTGCTTTTTGAGCTCTAACAAAAAAAATTCCTCGCAAAATTTTGGTATAAACTACACTTTACTCTAACTGCTAACTACTAACCCTAACTCTAATTTTAATTCTAATCTAGTATTTGCATATATAAAATTCTTGTTAGACGGATCTACAAATTATAATTTAAAATATACATGAAGAATATTTATTAAGCTAAGTATTTAAAATAAGATACTCGAATTCATGAAGATTCACTACTTAATTTCATACCAGAATGTGAGTACAAAACATTTGCAAATATAAGCACTATATTTAAGATATTCAAGTTCGCAACTATATACTGTTTAATTTCATTTTATTCAAGTGAGTGAGTATAAAAAATTTATTTTAAACAGTAATTCATATTTATAAATAGAATTTTGCTATTTACCACCACTGGTGATCATCACCGGTGTTGCTATATCTCAAAAATGTACTAAGTAAACAGGATCGGGTATTCTAAGTAAAAATGTTCAGAACCCCCAAAAACCTCACAAAAACTAAAATCGGGACTTTATATTAGCTCTATATTATATTATAAAAAAAAAAAATAATTCTCTAATTTCTAACCCTAACCCTAACAAATCTTAGGACTGGTGATGATCACTACCGGTGATATGTAGTAATTTTCATAAAAATATTAGAATTAAATAAATAATATATTATATAAATTATACATACATTCATATCATTTCTATTAAAAGTTTTTCATGGCCCAGGAACTTGTCACCACAGGTAAATGACTGAACCCCACTTTTGGTATATTTTTAAAACTTTATTTACCAATAGTTAACTGACAAATAAAAGAGATACAATTTCTCTTTTTGCATAACTATCATAATACAAATAGACAATATGCTATTTGAGGTCTTTACTGTAAGAATGTGGCATCTAAAAATATATGAAGATAAAAAAATAAAGAAGAAAAAAATAAAAATAATAAAAAAATAAAAAAATAAAAAATATAGAAAAAAAAATTATAAAAGGTGAATTTAAGCAATATGTGATTTTTAAGGAAAAAAAATGGGAAATTTTTACAACAACTTGGTTAACCAAAACAAAATAAGGTACACAAGTCGATAATACACTAGAGAAACGGAATTCGACAAGGAATCTTTGGAATTGAGATTTTTTAAGTGAGAATTTTTTAAAAAACAACGAATTTGAGAGAATTTTACAGATTTCCGTGTAATGGATGATCGACGGCTGATCACAGTAATTTGAAAAGCACGATCAATAACGATATTTAAAAATTAAATGCTTGAGCGTATTATATTTCTTATAATCTTTTAAAAAACCTAATAAAAATCAACGAGCACCAGCCTTTCTTTTTAGTGATTTTGCTAATTTAAATTTTTTTGGTTTAATAGCAACGGAATCAACTTATGGAGTCGTTAGCGAAAGTGCTTTATGGCAACAAAAAGTAAACTTTTTTTTCGTTAATAATAATAGTATATTTAAAGAAATTTTGTTTATAGGCAATCTATAACGGTTGCTGCTTCGTAGAATAGATAATACGAAAATGTTTTCTAAGATTATAACCTTCATTATGGAGCGAAAAACGGAATAGCAATATTTTAATTATAGTTTTATTAAAGGTTATAGGATGGTTCGTTCTACGTTTTAATAAATAAAATGCTATTTTTTAGACCAGTTAGAAATTTGTTGAGAATTCATTGTTTATAAATGTTTAATCTGCAAAAATGCAGAAATGTAAAAGTAATACTTGAGCGACCTTTGTCAATGGTAAAGTTTTGGAGAAAAAAAGATGGGTTAGTTAATTTATTCATTTTCGACTAATTAAAAATCTACCTCCGATTCATAGAATGAGCTGCTTGAGAACACCCTCATTTATTCCCTTTCATAACTTTTTACTAAAAATAGATACTGCTAACCGAAATAAGGGTAGTTCTTTATTAATCTTTATTACGTATATAAGTAGCACGAAATTGAAAGAGCTTTTTTTATATGTTAAAAATGTCATTTTCTTTGACTGCATCAAATCCAACCGTGGTAAAAACTTCAAAGGGCGAAGATAAAATAATTTGCGTAGAATTTAAAGTGCCAGAATATAACCGAGATGCATCTTTTAGTCTTGCAAAATATTCTTTTCGTGCAAAATCAGAAAATCCCGATATTGATGAAGGATGGATTGTTTATAGAAATGATGAAAGCTTTCTAACTGTTGGGAAAGGATATGTGGTCGTTAAAGGAAAATATTGTGGTATTTGCTCGACTGATTTGGCTAGACGATTTCTACCTTTCGAATTGCCACAGGTAAAATGTATTCAATTAAAATTTGCTTTAAAAAAAAAGTTTAAATTTTATTTATCTATTAGATTATCGGACATGAAGCTGTTGCTTTACACCAATCTAAACCTGTTGTAATAGAAATTAACGCATCACATTTTGCTCGTGGCATTACAAATGAATCAACTTGTCATTTTTGTAACACTGGATTGTCCACTCAATGTCCAGATCGTGTATGTTTTGTGCTACATTCATTTTGAAATTAGGCTAGTTATTCTTGATAAATTCTTTCATTTTTCAGATAACTTTGGGAATAAATCAACAACCTGGTGGTTTGGCACCTTATATCCTTGCACCTATAAATGCCATTGTACCAATTCCTGATAATTTAAGTTTAAAATCATCGATATTGGTGGAGCCTTTTGCAGCCGCTCTACATGTATATATTTTCTTTATTGCTTGATAAATTATTAAATGCATAGTGTTATATATATATTATTTTCTTTTTTTAAGGCTGTTGAAACAACACCACCAAATAATGGTCATGAGGTTGCTGTCTTGGGACCTCGCAAATTAGGAATATTAATTCTTGCGGCTTTATACAGTATGATAATCTATGTAATATTGGTTAAATTTAATGACATAATATTAACACTTTTTTTTTAATCTTACAAGGTTATCGAAAAAAATATAATCTTGATTTTACTACAACGGCTATTTTTCATAAAGATCCACCACCACAACCACTTTATGATCTTGCGCAACAATTTGATGCACAAATAAACACATCATCATCTTTACTTCCTGACCAAAAATTTGATATTATCTTTGACACTACGGGTTCTCCGGAAGGTTTCTTACACGCGATAAAGCTATGTAAAAAAATTCTTCATTTGAAATCAACTCATGGACGAGAAGTTTGTGGACTGAGACGAATGACAGATCTTGTGGTTGACGAATTCTCATTGTTAAAATTTGAACAAAAGAGTTTGGAGTTCAGTTGGCCTGGAGAAATTTTAGGCAAACGAAGGAATCCTAACGTTTTTGTTAGTCCATCTGTCGATGAAAGGATTGTTAAATCGATTAAAGATACTGGAAGGAATGTGATTATTCTGGAAATCGCACATGCTCTAGAATATGTTAAGCAATGGATCGAACAGTCAAGATCAGGAAAAATTGAGGA